CATGCATTTTCAAAATATGGCGTCGGTATTGGATGATCATGGTGAGGGTTCTCCCCCCTAAAGTGATGGTTCCCCCTCCCCCAATGTGTACCACATTGCTACGGAATGACGGCGGAATGATAGCCTGAAAACGTGCTGAAGATCATGAACACCATGACCCAAATTATTGATTGCATTTAACACGAACCTCAATTCAACTTCTTCATTGAGTTCCTACAGGACGAAGCAGTGGCTGATTCAATTGAATCAAAGGTGATTACGTAATCTGTGAATCTGAATCTGAATCACGTGCGTATGTGTCACCGCACCCTGGCAGTCTGAACAACAGTTTAATGGATGGATTGTGACAACTGTACACTCCATTACGTCAGGACATATTGTGCATGCATACAATGGTTTTAATCTGGATGCTGCACGAAACTAGCCCCCACAGGGAGGCAACGCGTGGTACTGTTCAGTGTGGACTGCGATCATTTCACATTCAAATGCAGTGTGTCTAATGTCCTGTAAATAATTGTGTTATCAACAGAACCCTTGTACGGCAATTGTGCATTTTTAAGTTTTGTTTGTTGTTTAACGCCTCGAGCAATATTCCAGCGATGTGACAGCGGTCTGTAAATAATCAAGTCTGGACTAGACAATTCAGTGATTGACATCATGAGCATTGATCTACTCAACTGGGATACGATGACATGCATCAACCAAGTCAGCAAGCCTGACCACCTGATCCCGTTAGTCTCCTCTTACAACAAGCATGGGTTGCTGGAGACCAATTCTAACCCGGACCTTTACGGGAGCATCTTCTGAAGCTTCGATCATTTATTAGAAACTCGTACCCAATGAAACTTGGTTTTTGGGAACTTTTGTTTGGAGCTTTGTGGGGTTACTACTTTGGGGTTATTTCGCTGTTAACACTTATGAAGCACCCGACCGATAACTGTGCCGCGGCCCCGTATATGGCTTGTCTGATCAACAATACTTCTGCTCACAGGGGCGGTGGGGTAGCCTAGTGGTTAAAGCGTTCGCTCTTCACGCCGAAGACCCGGGTTCGATTCCCGACATGGGTTCAATTTGTGAAGCCCATTTCTGGAGTCCCTACATAGTTACTGTGTGAAGCCCATTTCACGGTGTCTTCCGCCGTGATATTGCTGGAATATTGCTAAAAGCGGCGTAAAACCATACTCACTCACTCTACTCACAGGGAATGCCGCAAGAGTTACAGAAATTTCTACATATTTTAATTTGTATGTTGGGATATGGTGAGTGTTTTGCTGGTTACTGTACAACTTGTAACAGTGTTTCTATCTGTCGGGCAGTTCTAGTATGGGACGAAAGTCATAACGCGTAAGGATTCCGGGTACGAATGTAGGTGACGACAACCTACATGGTCGTCGTAAGAGCCGAAGATAGCGTATTATCGTAATTGCATGGGCCGATGGGCCGATGGTCATGATGTCAATCACTGGCTTGTCTGGTCCATTATTTAAATGGCGTTGTGATATGGCTGGAATATTACCGAGTGCGGAGTTTTGTAACAATCAATCAGACGCAAGACGCAGGTGGTATCAAAGGTATAGTGCTGGTAGATCGACGGCCAGGACACATCTAATGTAATGTCAGGCGTTTCATCTAATATAATGTCAGGTGAATATAAAGACTACATGGATTAGGGATAGACTGGTTGTATGTAAAGCAATGACGTCGAAAATGCATGCTCTTACTATCTATTGCAGCGTTTTGTCTGGTCAAGCTTGGCTCGATCGCTTTATACCTTCAGCCTTTATACATTCTGGTGTTCCTAACTACGGAGGACGCACGGATGGTCCAGTCATCTTAGGCGCCGCATTTCGCTATGCAGGGTTGCGTCCCTTGTGCATTCCAGAAACCTATAATTGTAGGTACGAATCCCGGTTCGACCCGATTATGTTTCTAGGTTTGTCAGCACCATACCCGTGCTCGTGGGTTTCACCCAAAGTGGTAAACGTCTGAGACATGCATCATTTCGGGCTTTCTTCCCACATTAAGCTGACACGCCTAGCCGTGATTTAACAGTTACTGAAACACTGTTAAAAGCGGCGTTAAACCAAAACTCACTCACTCCTAACGACGGAATGAAAAACATGACATGAAATAAGTGTCATATTCTTCAGACGTGTGTGCGTGAATATTTATATTTAACGCCACAATGAGCAATATTCTAGCTATTTTACATCGGCCTGTAAATAACCGTTTTCATTAGGCAAACCGGTGACTAAAGTCAGAAGAAATGAACCGTTCCACCGATGCATGAGGACACACACAATCAGTCTAATCACGAGGATGACCATAGCAGTCGATACTTAGGCAGGTCAATTTTTTCCAACATAAACAGGTGCTCATATTATTTTTTTTACAAGAAAGTAATAATAATAATAATAACAGCGAACTGTGGGCAATAAAAGGGCAAATATTGATGTTCTTAAACAAAACGATGCATATGTAATTTCTTTTCAAGGGCTTAATTATTTTTTAAGAACAAATCCCGACCAACACACCCCTCACGACAAGAAGAGGTTATTCGGGACATATTCCACCCTAGATTTCAAACAAAACGAGAACTGCATATGATTACTGGACTATGTAATCCCTAAACTATACATTTAACTGAGTCAATCTCCGGAAATATGCCAGGTCAATTTATGTAAAATCTGTTTGCATAGAGCATCATTGTTTATTAGTTCCTGTCAGGCGCAGTGAGCCCTTCCGGTGTCCACGATTAATCAAGGATATCTTTCACGGGATGATATCCTGAATCGATATTAGTTCAATATGTGTAATGTCAGATGGCGCTGTTATCGATTACATGTCCCACCCGGCAACAACTTCAGTGATTGATAGGTGGGTCCTGGGGAATATTGGCCATGCTCCGTGAACTAAACCCTCACGTGGGTATTTGATCATGGCCACAGCCGACATTGACTTTACACATCAAAGATTTGATTGCGAAAAAATCGCTTGTTGAGTAAAATATATACGACACTGTTGATATAACACGGAGAGGTTCAAGGCGCATGTGCATTTGTACAGGGTAATGCTGGTATCTGGTATAATTGTCGGATGGATTTCGACTTGCCTAGCGGTAGAATTCCATTGTTTATCGTCTCATGCTCCTGTAATTGATCGAACGCATTTGAGTAATTAAAGCGTGGGTATGTGTTATGCAAGGCGTTGAAAACATATTTTCCCCTAACGCCAAAGTGCATGTATTGGGGTTCTTGAATTGTTTGTGAACTAGACATGTTCGTGCATTATATGCAAAACCAGACAGCTACGTGCATATCACCATCTCTTAAAAACAGATCTTCGTGCTTAAGCGAAAACTAAGATCGTATTTTAATGAGATTGGTGCATACCTTCGGATTTCCCTGAATAAACATCGTACAAAGACACCACTGTCATTAATTGCTTAAAAACCCACCACTCCATAAATATTAGTATAACCTCATTATTAATCTGAATTTCAGACATCAACATGTAGCTAACCTCATTGTTGTCTAGGTATATGAAATAACAATGCAATTACAACGATCTACCGGACTTGGGTGGCGGATGGGTAGCCTAGCAGTTAAACGTCACCCGGGTTTGATTCCCTACATAGGTACATTGTGTGAAGCCCATTTTACGGTGTCCTCCGCCGTGATATTGCGGGAATATTGCTAAAAGCGGTGTAAAACCATACTCACTCACTCACACTACCGGTGTTGCTAAAAGTTAAACGATTACATTTGATGTTCGGCCCTTTCGCCCGCACAGGTGAAAAACGCGTTCAAACCAGACAAATCTGAATTCCTAAATAATCACAATCAGTCAACATTTAAAAAAAATGCAAGCTTTTCTAACGTTTATTTCTTGACTGACCTTGAACTTCAACGTCAGTTAACCATAAACCTGAAACAAGGTAGAATTCCTAGCATGTGTACTGAGTCTAATTCCGACAAAAACATCAACGTTTCATTATTTGAGGTTTAGGTGAAATGAGTTTAACGAAGCGTCCAAAAGTATTCCACTTATATAGCGACGTGCATGCACATGTGTGTGTGTGTGTGAGTGTATGCGTGGCTGCTTGTACTAGTCCGGACTGATGCCGATTTTATAGCGCTGGCTAAATGAGATAGCATGCCACAGTTTAACATGAATATCCCACTTGTTTTAGCCCCTTAATACCGAAAGCCATGCTAACAAGAACCATCTTTTAACGTCTTTTGGTATCGAACCCCGGACCTTCCGCTACCCGGGCGGACGCTACCACTAGACCACGGAGGCGGTCTGCATAATTTAAATAAGTAACGTAATATATTCGCTGACGTTAAACTTTTGAAACACACATTTACGCCATAGCATCTGGAGTTAATCTTCCTGGTGACGTCATTTACGATTTACGATAAAGACACCATGGTTGTACTACCCTGAATGGAACCATGACGATCCGGGGTAGAATTTGTCTTCACCTGCCCATGCATGCCGTAAAAGGCGACTGACGGGATCGGGTGGTCAGGCTCGCTGGTTGGTTCGTGCATGTCATTGAGTGGATCGATGCTCATGATGTCAATCACTGGAAAGTCTGGTCCAGACTCGATCATTTTTCAGACCGCCGTCATAAAGCTGGAATATTGCTGAGTGCAGCGTTAAACAACACGCCAAACTACCCTGAATGATTTGATATCGTGTGTGAGATGCTCCTGGTGCCAATCACTGCATCATCTGGCGCAGACTCGATTTAGCCCGCCGTCAAATAACTGGAATATAATATTGCTGAATGCGGCGTTACATGACCAAAAAACAATCAAACGATGACTGACACCTGATCCACCAAGTTACCGAGCCAGACACCCCATCCATAAGTCGCCACTTCCGAAAAGCATAGGTTGCTGGGGACCAATTCTAACCCGGAATCAATACGTGTTTGATATGTAATTTTATACGCGAGAGTGTGTATTTCCCAACATTGACACAACAAGAACAGGAAAAATACATGTTTATTTGACAGTTAACATGCAAAAATAAACTATAAGTTTAAAAATCAACAATATGAATTGGACTTATATTTTGCATTTATAACTGTGAAGTATAATTGGCACATCGAAATAATGAGTGCCCCGGATTCAGGTGAGGAACATCAACGTATTCTTTGCAAACTTATTCTTTGTTTTTTTAACCCTTTTTCTGTCATAAAAAATTTACACATATTTTTATCATAGTTTGAAACTAACATTTTTTTCAAAGACTTTCAAACGAAACACTTTGCAAGGATCATCAGCTATAGTTTCTTTGATAGGCATGCCAAAATATTGACACACTGTTTGTGATTTGAGATGCAGATTGACGCCGTTAGGCGAGTTGTTCACTAGAAATGAAAAGAACGCCACGTTTTGCTTGGCATATGCTTCCAATACCACGTGCTTACTGCAAGTATATGGCAATGGGATGAGTGACGCAAATGTTGAATTTTCACTTTGGATGAAATATGTTTATGTATGAAATTGACATACATCTAGTCGCTTATGAGTGATGAGTGAGATTGGTAGAACCCCGCTTTGAACAGTATTTCAGTCTCATCATGGTCGGTCATCTTAATGTGCGAGTCAAGCTAGAACAAATGCAGGTCTAATATGTGAAATCTACGAGCACGGGCATGGTATTGACAAACCTAATAGAGCCGAATTTCGGTTTCGAGCCCAAGACCATACGTTTATGGCACGCCTATGGGATGCAACTCTGCAAAGCGAATAGACGACTGCATGAGCCCTCTTCGCTTCTGGAAGCTGAGGGAATGCACCGAATATGCAGACTAACTGTGTCTGAATGCATAAATGGGGTCACGCATAGTTTATCACAATAACGTATTTTGCACTGACACCTTATAATTTCCAAGGGCCCTTGTTAACATAGTTAACAAGTGAAGGCTTTTTTTCAAAATGTAAGGCCAGAATAATCTGATGAATATTGGAATAAAATGATATTTTCGTTCACGTCATTGTTTGCTTTCAGTAGATTTATCGCTGTTTCTTTAAAGATATGTGAAACGTGTACTCGTGGATGATCAAGCTCCATAAGTTAGAGCATACTGCCTGAAACACACACACAAATGTCTCTGAAATCTTTAATTAATCATCGTCCCTGTATGGCTGAATAATGCCGATGCGACGTTAAATTTTCACTCACTCACTCATTCACTCACTCACTCACTCACTCACTCACTCTTTAATTAATCTGTGATGGCTGGCACGTGATTCGTGATGCAGCGACGTCGCCATTCAACAGCGAGGTGCAACACGTGCTGACTCTGTCAACTCAGCAGTGAGGTGCAACACGCGTTGACTCTGTCAACTCAGCAGTGAGGTGCAACACGTGCTGTCTCTGTCAACTAAGCAGCGAGGTGCAACACGTGTTGACTCTGTCAACTCAGCAGTGAGGTGCAACACGTGCTGACTCTGTCAACTCACCAGTGAGGTGCAACACGTGCTGCCTCTGTCAACTCAGCAGTGAGGTGCAACACGTGCTGCCTCTGTCAACTCAGCAGTGAAGTGTAACACGTGTTGACTGTCAACTCAACAGTGAGGTGCAACACGTGCTGACTGTCAACTCAGCAGTGAGGTGCAACACGTGCGATTCTTCCACTCAGCAGCGAGGTGCAACACGTGCGATTCTTCCACTCAGCAGCGAGGTGCAACACGTGCGATTCTTCCACTCAGCAGCGAGGTGCAACACGTGCGATTCTTTCACTCAGCAGCGAGGTGCAACACGTGCGATTCTTCCACTCAACAGCGAGGTGCAACACGTGCGATTCTTCCACTCAACAGCGAGGTGCAACACGTGCGATTCTTCCACTCAACAGCGAGGTGCAACACGTGCGATTCTTCCACTCAACAGCGAGGTGCAACACGTGCGATTCTTCCACTCAGCAGCGAGGTGCAACACGTGCGATTATTTCACTCAGCAGCGAGGTGCAACACGTGCGATTCTTCCATTCAACAGCGAGGTGCAACACGTGCTGATTCTTCCAACAAGGCAGTCAACATCAGTATCAATATATGTCTCTCACGAGAAGACAGCAACACTGTTGCCTGGACCACCTTGTACTTAGCGGTATGCGTCATAAGCTTTCGAGGCTGGTCCCAATGTTTCTTGCATAGTGATTTACGAGTGTCGGAGCACCACGTATGTCTGTGAGCAGCACATAGAAATGTTTAATTTCATGACTTCGTGTTCAAACAGTGTTGTACAAATATGTCTATCACATGTTGACAAGGTGACACTTTTAAATGGTGACCTTTGTGTTGACCTTCGTCTTGGCGATCACTCAGTTGTACTATTGTCTGTCACATGTTGAGATGGTGACCTTTATAACCGGGTTGAGGAAGTCATCCTTCTCGGCTGATTCCGTCGACATGGAGGTAGGTGGCCTTTCAGATAGCTGCTTGTTCCACTGCAGTGCCCTGTTCATCGCGTCTGAAGTGAAGAAATTCCGTATCAACTAAACAGTCTCACTAAATATTATGGCACGCACCGAGTTATAACCCATACCTATAAATCACTATTACTCATAAAATATAATACAAGAAGTCAACCTTCCAATAGTCCACGTTCCTTTCATGACGAGCAATATTCCAGCAGCTCCGGCCATCGGTGTCTTCATTTCATAACATTTGCGGTACAATCGAGCATGCTCTTTTTTAGAAGAACTCAAAGAGAATCATTCAACACTTGCCTAAAAGTTGTTTGATAACGATTACAACATTCAAGGCCTCAGTGAACGCCTGTGGTTGAGAGTGTGCACCGATCGATAACGTCGGGGTCAGGTCAGGTCAGAGAGTTGGTCGTTCCTATACGAAACCTTTATTCGCTTAACTTACAGCAGTCGTTAATAATTTCAATATTTTTTAAAAGATATACTGACATCTTCCCGAACACTCCAATGTGTCATGTTCGGATACTTACTCTGTTTTGATATCTTCCCGAACACTCTAATGTGTCATGTTCGGATACTTACTCTGTTCTGATATCTTCCCGAACACTCCAATGTGTCATGTTCGGATACTTACTCTGTTTTGATATCTTCCCGAACACTCTAATGTGTCATGTTCGGATACTTACTCTGTTCTGATATCTTCCCGAACACTCTAATGTGTCATGTTCGGATACTTACTCTGTCCTGAGATCTTCCCGAACACTCTAATGTGTCATGTTCGGATAATTACTCTGTTCTGATATCTTCCCGAACACTCTAATGTGTCATGTTCGGATACTTACTCTGTTCTGATATATTCCCGAACACTCTCATGTGTCATGTTCGGATACTTACTCTGTCCTGAGATCTTCCCGAACACTCTAATGTGTCATGTTCGGATACTTACTCTGTTCTGATATCTTTCTGAACACAGCTATGGTGGCATTTCTCTGCTCCCTAGCCGTAAGCTGTTTCGGGGACGATAGCGGTTGCCCGTAGGACAGTGGTCGCTTCTGAGACGTCAAGTCAACACTACACAAGATCCGAGACTTCTGTCTCTCTACGTCACCTCCAGGGTCACCTGGACCCCTTTCACACACAGATGGGAGCGTCCCTGACCTTGCCTTCCCATTGTCAGTCTCAACAACGTCCGCCTTCCTGCCCAGACGTTTTCTCATTCCATAAGCCGTGTTGGGCGGAGCGGGAGGGTCGAACCCAAACACCTGGGGCATAAGCCTGTCGATATTGACATAAATCTCCCTGTTTCGGACTGGGGACTGTCCTCGCACGTTCAACTGATCACTTTCAGATTTCTTCCACGCGTCTCTATGCCGTCCGTAGGTACCATATTGTGGGTCGGGCGAATGGGACCGAGTACTACTGATTTCTGGAAGCTTATGCTGTGAGTTTCTCGTTAAAAACGGCTTCTTTGTCTTCACCGATGGAATCATGTGGGGATCGAAACTTTTCGGTCTGTTGGTGAGAGTATTACTTGCATGACTTTTTCGAAACAACGAAAAAGACGTTTTAAGGGACACAGGTCGACATGATGCAAGCCACGTCACAGTTTCCTCAGATGAGGCGCCAACCCGCGGCAGATGGTCACGATACACAACATCCTGCAAGGCCCCCGAGTCACCAGAGGTCGAGGTCGTCTGAGTAGACGTAGTAGAGTCTGATCTCGCCGTCATGTGGGGAAGAATAAATCCTTCTTCCACACCCTTCACCATGAGAAGATAAGCAGCTGAGGCACTGTCCACCTTCCTCTCACTCACTGAGTAAAGCAGTTCACTTTCATTGAATCCAAAGTACTGGGAGAGGTATCGGACAACGTTAATATCCACAGCTTCTGGCGTGACCTTGAGAACTTGGGGGTGACGTGGGACGGTTGAGTGGCCATCGTTGGTGAGCCAGGGATGAGTTAGAAGGTCGTCCATCATTATCCTCTTGCTCTCGAAAGGCTCCAGCAGATGACTTAGAAAGTCTTTGCAGCCTGCATGCACGAACACATTAATATGTTATGACCATGTCAGTAAAGTCACATTGCTCTCATCCCTTGTGCAAATATCGATTAGTTCCTTCTGACGCTTGAAAATCAATGATTTATTTAATCAACGTAGTGCACCTTAACTGGTTACTGTCTATGACAGAGCAGATGAAAGTGACTTGAACCGACCCAGAGACTCATTAGGGATATTCTAAAAGGTATACATTCGTAATTGTGTATGCTTTGTTTGTTTGTTTGTTGTTTAACGCCGCATTTCAGCAATATTCCAGCTATATGACAGCGGTCTGTAAATAATCAAGTCGGGACCAGACATACCAGTAGTTGACATCATGAGCATCGATATACGCAATTAGGATACGATGACATGCATCAACCAAGTCAGCGAGCCTGACCACCCGATCCCGTTAGTCGCCTTGTACCACGAGCACAGTCACCTTTTACGGCAAGCATTGGTTACTGAAGATCTTCAAAGGTCTAATTGTGTATGCAGGTGAGTCAAAGTCTATGTAACTGCTTACAAATTTCTAACGTCCTTATATATGTCTATCAAAGTAATCTTTTTTGCAGCAAACATAGCTTTTCCAATACTACTGCATTGTCTTTGTTAACGAACGCTACTTTAATAGATAGTTGGTTGACATCACCTGGAGACAGACTCGCCGGAATCCGACAGCCTTGAAGAATGTTGGCGTGGATCTGCTGCAGAGAGGAAGGGGTGTCTGACATGAACGGTAGCCTTCCGCTCAACATGGTGAACACACACACGCCTCTGGAATACACAGTCGTAAAATATGTTGTACACGCACAGTTGTTCAGTTTCTGGATGTAATACAGTGAGACAACAATACTAACATCGCTTTTAAAAGTGTAAAATAAGAACTTGCTTATCACATTTAGCGATCTCACCTTCTCCCCTTGTAAACACCTTCTCAAAGTATCCCCTTGCAGACACCTTCTCAAACTACCCCCTTGTAGACGCCTGATCAAACTATCCCCTTGTAGACGCCTGATCAAACTATCCCCTTGTAGACGCCTGATCAAACTATCCCCTTGTAGATGCCTTTCAAACTAACGCTTATAAAGTGGCTTGAGTCAAAAAGGTTCAGATATATCTAATGGTGCTCATGACGTAGCTAGTTGTTTATTTATTGTATAATGAACTATCACAAACTAACTCTGTAATTGTCTACTGTGAACTTCAGATCTTTGAAGTACTTTTCACACTGATAACGACTATCGTATAATGTATAATCTCACATGCTCCATATATCTGCGGCGGGTCCGCCCTGCTTCCCCGTGAACATCTCGGGGGCAACGTAGGCAGGGGCCATCCCCTGCGCAGGGTGGGGCGAACCGGGTACAGGGTGGCTCCCCTGGCCGAAATCTGGGACACACAATAGAAACAAGTTATCACACTTCTACTAAAACTGTATAACTATGCAAATTGTCATAAGCGATACCACATTACAGAACTGAAAAATATTATGTCTTGTACTTATACATATACAGTCGGACCCCGTTATCTCGAACCTAGCGGGACAGTGTTGTATCCAGACTTTAGAGACAACGCGGTATGAACAGATAGATCAAGTAACAGTAGTATAGTAACCAGAAAGTGCCGCCATGTTTTGATCATATCTACTCACGATAAATATTTGTCAATAAAATTACCATAACGATTGGATAAAATTCAAAACATGTATAATTTGTTGACAAATTGTTTAAATGGCACTTTACTTTTATGCTAGAAGGTATTAGATATTAAATTTGCGCTTCTCAAAACTGTTAATGTGGCAAATGCCAACTTCGAGATAAAGGTACAAAATCAATAGTAAAGTCAAAGTTGGGACAGAGTCCAAGGTTCGAGATAGCGCTATGTAACTTTATCTCGAATTCGAGATAAGCGGGCAAATGTACATGTATTTATTTAGTGAGGTGGTCGGGATTTGAGAATAGGTTCGAGATATCGATACGTTCGAGATAACGAGGTTCGACGGTATGTCTAGTAACCATGGATTGGGGTCCTTCGTTCAAGAGAGTCTTGGTTGTGAACTAAAGGAAAAGCGAGATACATTATTTCATTATATTTCACCCCACTCCCATTTTCTAGAGGCCAAAATGAAAGGTCATGTTAAAAGACATAATCTGAGTACAAGTTATGACATCTATAACCAGTACATTGATATATTGATGACATACCGCTTATTTTCAAATTGAAGTCCTTGTCAAGCAGGAAGTTGTCCAATCGAAGGTCTCTGAAGCATGAACAGCACAGGTGAAGGAAGTATTCAGGTTGTTTGTGACATGTTTGTGTGAGCTGCTCAGTCCATATATATAAAATGAGCTGACTGACGTGTAAGGTGGGTCTGTGCTTGAACATCGTGTATGACTATGTTTATGGAAAACGTTAGGTGGGCGGTCGGGTAGCCTGATGGTTCGCCGAAGACCCGGGTTCGATTCCCGATATGAGAATAATGTGTGAAGCCAATTTCTGGTTCCCCCCGCTGTGATATTGCTGGAATATTGCGTAAAACAATATTCACTCACTCACTCACTAAAACGTGATGTGAAACGGGACTTGTGCTGCGATATTGCTGGAATATTGCTAAAAGCGGCGTAAAACAATACTCACTCACTTAAACGTGGGGTGAAACGGGACTTATGTGTGTACTTGTACATGTACCGACTTATGCCTTTTTTTAATAGTGCTAGCCTACTGAGATACCATGCGGCAGGTTAAGATTACTAATCCACTCAGACACAGTATACCGACTCCGATCTGACCAGTCCTTGTTTTATCCCTTAATGCCGAGCGCCAGGCAGGGTAACAACAAGTCCCATCTTTTCACGTCTTTCGGTATGATGCGGCCGGGGATCGATCCACCGGACTACTGCGCCAGGGAGGCGGTCTGTACATGTAAATCTCAATGTGTGAGATCACAGGCAGTAGATCGCTATATGGCTGGGACATTATTTACAGACTGCCGTCATATAGCTGGAATATTGCTGCGTGCGGCGTTATTAACAAACAAACAAACCTGTGGACAATGCCGGACACGTGCATGTGGTCGACGGCCGACACCAGCTGGGAGGCAAACTTCCGGGTTTCGTTCTCGTCAAGACACCGCCTATTTTATAAGAAATTGTCCTTTTAATACATGTCATATGAAAAAATTATCAAGTATTTAAATGGATACTTTGTACAGCGTTGATACGGCTCCTAGTACCCTATAATCTTTGTAAACTGAGACGTGTAAGAGTGAGTGAGTTTAACGGCGCTAAAGTATCGTTGATGTTTACCACTGTGTTAAAACCAACACAGTATGGTATGGCACGACAAACCAAATATCATAATTAGGGCGAACCAGAGATTCGAACCCACGAACACCGTATCACATATAAATAATATTCTTGTGGTATGAAACGTTAACTCGTCATGCTCACCTGGGTTCGAATGGGTGAACAATGTGATATTGCTGGAAAGTTGATAAAACCATTATCGCTCATGTACTCGCAATATACATGTAAAAAATAGAAGTTGTAGCAGGATCACGAGGTGTCCCGCGTCAGGTTTTATACCACGAGCCGGAGGCGGAGGGACGCCTAAAACCCAATTTACATCCAGTGATCCTGCTACAACGAATTTATATTACCGACATGTTGTAATATGAGATTGTAAAATAATTTTTAAAAATTCAAAATTGAACGAAAACAGTTGTTCGATTGAGTCGAGGTTAACTTGTGCTATGTCAAGTGACTTTCATTGACGCGGGAAAAGCGTGCGGCGTTTGCTTCGAAGCGGGGTGTAAGGGATTTATTTCCTTCAGAAATCCACGTGCAGGATGTCTTGCTCGTGGCGGGGTATAAGGGATTTATTCTCCTCTCCCGCTGAGAAATTTATTTCCCTCTAAGGCAGGAGACACAGTATTTTATCACGTGGGCCAATCAGATCTTATCATTCTGACATGGAGGTATGATAATGAACTTGTATGTGTCTGATATCCTCGTCGTGAACATTCCGGTCGGAAGTGATCTTTAGCAAACCATGGCAGTCGTAAAAGGCGACTAGCCGTATCTAGAGGTCAGGCTTGCTGCCGCGGTTAACGCATGTCATGGTATCCCAGGTGCGTAGATTGATGCTCATGGTGTCAATCACTTGATTGTTAACAGACCGCCGTCATATAGCTGGGATATTGCTGAGTGCAGCGTTAAACAACAAACAAACCCACTCATATCCAAATGTTGGGCTAACGATGTGATGTCTCACTTTTGAGCCAGGTATTGACAGAAGTGCCCCCTGTCGGCCATCTCGAGAACGAGGTAGTAGCTGTTTGGTGTCTCCATAGCCTCGTAGAGACGGATGATGTTGGGGTGGTGGACATACTGGGATAGAAGTGCCTGCCGCCGGAAGTGACGTCGTGCAGCCTCTTTCTGTACCAACACCTTCTTTGGAATCACCTTTACTGCCACCTGCAAATCAAAAACAACCTGAATTAATGTTAATGTATGTGTCAAGAATCAACGACTGTGCAACGAGCTATCTTCGTGCATGTCGGAGTTGGTTACCCTGAAATGCTACATTACAACGAATTTAAATGAGGGCCTTATGAGTTAATTCGGGTGGTCAGACTCTGTGATTGTATTGATTGTTTGTCTTCGTACCGCAGCGGTATGTAGCCCTGTTCATTATATCAATCACTGGTCCGCCGTTGTAAAGCTGGAATATTGGCGAGTGATGCCTTAGATAACAAACAAACAGACTTGATAAAAAAAACCGCTAAATTAGCTCTGTACCTCAGCAACTAAACGATAAAGACATTTGAGTGGTTTTATTGTAGTATAGATGTACACATGCACGTGATGGCAATATCACAATCATGCAGTAAAGGAGGCATGTTTTCCCGACTATGTTTTGTATGTATTACAATGTTGTCACTGCAGATTCATATTCAAATCTCAACCGTGATTTCCTATACCAAACGTTTTCAAAAGAAGTTTGACGCCCAGAATGATTACATATCCACGTTTTATTAAATGTTCACGATACAAAAAGGAGGTGTCAAAGAGAATATCATGACATAAAAGCTCAAGTATAAACCCTCTCTATATAAGCTGCTGTTGATTGACGTCGGTTGTCCGTGTCCCGCAACCTTGGCTACAGACTGACTTACTTACTTACTTAAATTAGGAATTTAACGTGTGCTTTCCGACATATGCGTATTTCGCGCACGGGCAGCCAGGCCATTTGGTGTTTGGTCGAAAAGGGTATGCCCGAAAAGGTGAGGCAACCTAGGTGGGGCTTTTTAGGGTTGCTTACTTAATTTGGAGAACAAATTTGGAAAAAAAATTGTTTGGGGGGGGGGGGGGGGGGGGGGGGGAGGGACTAAAGGGAGTTTAGGTTTAGAATTTTAGGGTTTATTGGCAGCTTGTTTGTTGAAATTTTATTTTTAAATGCGGCCAAGTAGGCCTGTTTTGATATATGCCTGTGCTTTAAAGGTTTGTAAGTCATTTAGGGGGTTTAGTACCGTTGCTAGTGTCATTTGATTGTTGCAGTTTAGTGTGGCTTGGAGTCTTGTTCTGTGTTGCTGGTAATGTGTGCAATATGGTATTACATGTTCAGGCGTTTCTTTTAAGTTGCAGTGGGGGCATTTAACGGTTTGGTGTTTTTTTTAATTTAGTGTAGGTGGGAGTTAAACTTAGTGTGGCCTGTTTGTAGTTTAGTTATTACATTGTCAATTGTTTGGGTTTTATGATGGATTTTTGTTTTTTGGAGTGGCTTTTGTAGCAGGTGTTTTACTTTGCAATCAGATTTCTGATAGTTATGTTGCCACAGACATTGCACCGACTCCTATGTATATTGCTTCCTGTGCACACAAAGGGCCATGGTCATATCCACGCTGCTTATGTCGATCTAATAATACCTCGGCACAAATGGAAGAAAAATAACAAAGAATACAATAGTATGGGATTACCCCCCTAAGACGGTCTCCGTGGGGTGGCGACATTTAACCACATTTGGTCATTTCCAACCCTCATCAATCAACAAGTTCATAAGCTTAGACAGAGTTTTATATTAAGAAAGAGTCCAGCTTGACTTACACAAATCCCAGACACCATTTCTCACGTTCGACTTAGCCCAGTGATCGTTATAACAACTCGCCCATTCGGTGTGTGTGGAGCATGCGATGTGACCCACTACTTCTTGTAACTGGCAGCACTGTCGTGGATCTGTTTAGAATTACCTGTCTAGAATAGGCTTTCAGTGAAAATGTCATAACAGACTGTCGGTGCGAGGCTGCATAAATACACACGGTTAGTTTATTCTCAATTTACAAGTAACCTTAAGCATACGAGACGCAAGCGGACAAAGCAGAGTGTCGCCGTGACTTGTCAAGTGGCTCCAAAGCAGGAGACAGGTTGTATGGTTAAAAAGTCCTATTCAAAATAACACCAAGAGGATTCGCGTCTTTTGTGAGGGACATTTTCTTTCAAAGTTTACATTTATCATTTTTATTGCAATATATATCATGTTATCCTAGATAATTTTAAGAAACGTTTCCAAAGACAAATTTCTTCCTCGTATCCGAGAGATATAAATACAGCACAGACCAGTGAGTGAGTGAGTATGGTTTTACGCCGCTTTTAGCAATATTCCAGCAATATCACGGCGGGGGACACCACAAATGGGCTTCACAAATTGTACCCATGTCGGGAATCGAACCCGGGTTTTCGGCGTGACGAGCGAACGCTTTAACCACCAGGCTACCCGACCGCCCCTAGCAAAGACCATATTGTAAATAAAGTCATGATCCAAGTTAAGTCCCAACAGGTCTGAAAGTGTCTCAAAGTAGACAGTAAATTCATTCAAGAATCGTTTCGCAGATCACAGCATTAACTCGAATTAACAGGTACCAAAGATTGAAATCTATTTTACAGGAGCTTCCAAACAGACGGAACATTATGGGCAGTCAGGATCCAGGTGGGTCTGCCATATACAATCTTTGGAGAAATATTCTCAAAGGTTTGTCCTGTTTTCTCATATTCCACCATGGTAACCAAACCTTTGTCGCCTTAATCTGCACATGTAGCTCGGCACCCGAGACGATATCTTACGATGCACCAGCCTATACCCGGTAGACGGTCACAAAACATCGTCGCAAACAATGTCAGTGCGACCCACCGCCAACTAACAAAACCCCAGTTCTAACATATGCTCCACCACAATTAGACTAACATCTAGTCTCTGAAATGAACATATTTTACAAAAAAAATAGTTGTTAAATTATGGTTATAATTTATAATAAAAAGGAGCCCAGAGACTTTCTTCATTTTCAGATACTGCATTAATCTAGACTTGCCAAACATTATAGACTTGCATGGGCTGTATCGGATATATTTATTTCAGGGTCTGAATGACAGACTGAACCACAATGCATGCGTCAGGCTAGTATAGAGTGAGTGAGTGAGTGAGTTGGGTTTAGCGCCGCTTTTAACAGTATTCCAGTTATATCACGGCGTGTCAGCTTAATGTGGGAGGAAAGCCCGAAGTGATGCAGGTCTCAGACGTTTACCATTTCGGTTAAACCAATGAGCACGGGTATGGTGCTGACAAACCTAGAAACATCATAGGTTTCCGGCATACCCAAGGGACGCAACTCTGCACAGCGAATCGCTGCGCCTCAGGCGACTGGGCCACCCGTGCCCCCGGCTAGTATAGAACCTGCACTTACATGAAGCATGTATATGCACAATGCATGCGTCCTGACTATAGAACCTGTTCTAATATTCAGCAAGTATACGCATTGTGAGTTCAGTGTTACTTCCAATAAGGCGGGTTCCTTGGTGCAGGGTCTTTGTAGTGTATGTCCTGCTGAACAGAAGCCTTATGAGATGGACTGTGTTCACAATCGATATTGTCATCTGTGCTCATGGTATGTATAATGTAAAACTATAACAGTATTAATTCGGGGCACAGATGGCCAGTCGTATAAGGCTCCGCAGTTCGCTGTGCTCCCCTGTTGCGGAGTTGCGTCCCTGGACACGCCAGAAACCTATGATTGTGGGTTCGAATCCCGGTTCGCCCCGATTATGTTTCTAGGTTTGTCAGCACCACACCCGTGCTCAAGGGTTTAACCAAAGTGATAAACGTCTGAGACCTGCATCACTTCGGACTTTCCTCCCTCATTGAGTTAACACGCCGTGATATAATACGGATAAAAGCGGCGTTAAACCCAACTCACTCACTCAGTATTAATTCGAGAAGAGTCAACCCCCTAATCTCACGGCAAGCATAATGAGAAACAAAAACAAGGAAATCAATATACATATAAGTCAAGCCATAGTTCAGCCCACCACTCCATTGTGAACAGTTGATATTCAGCAAGGTTGGTTGGTTGGTTTGTTTGTTGTTTTACGCCGCACTCAGCAATATTCCAGCTATATGACGGCGGTCTGTAAATAATAGAGTCTAGACCAGACAATCCAGTGATTAACATCATGAGCATCGATCCGCGCAATTGGGATCGATGACATGCATCAACCAAGTCAGCGAGCCTGACCACCCGATCCCGTTAGTCGCCTTTTACGACAAGCATAGTCGCCTTTTACGGCAAGCATGGGTTGCTGAAGACCTACTCTACTCGGGATCTTTACTGTTTTTTACTGTGATGTTTGGGAGGTATTTGGTCATGAAATGTATGTGACAAACTGCACGGATTGCAGGGTAACCGACATGTAAGGGTTCAAGGTTGACTGTATCTAGTGAAAATTGGAATTAAAGGCGTTTGGTGGTTAAATGATAGATACGGAAGCTTTTTAGGGTCATTTGGTTTTTACATACATATCTTGAAATTTCAACTTATTATCTTGCAATTTCAAGGTAATTATCTTGAAATTTCAACTAATGTATCTTGAAATTGCAACTTAGCTTTTTAATCATGTTAATATTTCAACACAGCATCTTGAAATTTCGACTTAGTCTCTTAAAATTTCAACTTAGTATCTTGAAATTTTAAGGTCATTATCTTGAAATTTCAACTTAGTATGTATCTTGAAATTTAAACTTAGTATTTAGAAATTTCAACATGGCATCTTGAAATTTTAAGTTAGTATCTTGAAATTTCAAGAAAAAACGAAAAAAACACAACAAATGTCCCTAAAAGACTTCCGTAGATAGGCCATCTTCTCCTATACGTCAATTTAGTGACATACATTTTACCCCATTTTGTATACTAAAACCGTTTACTGACTGACGAATGGATAAAGTATTCTACCGTATCTACGTCAGCATCGCATTTCATGGTCTTTACCACCGGTCGTGTCTTACCTTGAAAACAGGACACCGTGTCTAGCCTAACACACAAGACACCGGTCTACCCTAACAAACAAGACTCCATGTCTAGCCTTACAAATATGACACCATGTCTAGCCTAACAAAAAAGATACCGTGTCTATCCTAACAAACAAGACAC